AAACAAGCTGGCAGGGGAGCAGTTAAGCATCAATCAGGCTGTCACTAGAGTGGTTAGGGGTGATCAGGCTGGCAGGCAAAAGCAGTTAGGGGCAATCAGGAAGGCAGGCAGGTGAGCAGTTGGGAACCAGCAGTCCTAGTTTGTGAGAGGGATGTCCGACTGCCCATTTAGGGTAAGATCGGGCCCATACAAGCAGTTGGACATCCCTCAAGGTGTCCCAGATTGGAGAGGATTGCAGGCTAGGCTGAGGGACACACACATACTCTCCCCACCACCACCACAACCACCAGCACCACCCCCTGCACAAATTTGTGCATGGGGCCTCTAGTTATATAGAAAATGGCTGTTAACTTTCACAACACTCACACACCATTATGCAATATCAAAACTTACACATAGCAGATCTCCATATCAACTCTTACATTGGCATTCGGAGAAAATCACCGCATTCCCTGGAGCTCGTTGTGAAATACAGAGGCTGCAGTCACAGCTGTCCCTCAAATGCTGTGACCATGCTCTGCCAGGAGTGAAGGCGAGTGTGCTGTGCACATGGCATGAGAACTCGCGGGGAGCCATGCTGCACAGGCTGCCTCTAACAGGCGGAGACAGAATGCGCTGCGCCCAGCCGGTGTGGGGACCGCGTGGCTAGGGAGCTGGTAGCACTTCTGCTAGCTGAGCAGGGAGTGAAACGGGCCCAAGGCCAAGGGCAGGGCCCCAGTCAGGTCACAGGCACCTGACAAGCTCATTCGGACCTCAGCGTGGCTCTGCACCTCTTCCTGCCTGAAGGCACAGGTCAGAGCCCAGGGGCCCTCCTCTCACGTTCGCCTCTCAGGCAGCCCTCTGAGTGGCCCCCAGGCTGGCTGTGTGCCACGAAAGGTGCATCTGGGCACCTGTCTGGGGCCGCCACTGCCCTGACCACAGGCAGCCAAAGGAAGGCACTGAGCCTGACACTCTGGCCCTTAGATAATTGATTCTAACGATGCTCACCCACCTGTTTCTCCAGCTCCTCCTCTGAATGCAGAGACAGAAATGCTCCCCACCCCTCTCAGTACAGCCACAGCTCAAATAGAGAAGGTGTCCCCAAGATTAAAATCATAACCCAACAGGCTACTAAATCGGAGGTTCCAAAGGAGATACATCAACACATAATTATATCAGTTTCCAAAATCAAGACATCAGACAGGCCTCATGCAGCATTTCAGCCTGGCTCAGAAGCAGAGGCTGCAGATGGAGAAATAGAAGAAGCAAGGTAACTATTAGCAAATGTGCCTTTAGAAAAAGATCCCGTTGGAACTGTCGCCGGGAGCTGGGAGTGTCCACACGGGACGGGAGACCACAGAGGGTCCACACAGAACCTGGCCCGGACGGAGGGGCCGACTAGTCCAGTCCCACTTCTGGAGGCCGGCCGATCTTTAAGCACACCCAGGGTGCACGCACATGGCAGCAGGAAGCACAGAAGAGCCGCGCGGGCCACAGTGAGGCAGCTGAGAGCCAAGCCTTGCTTCTCAGTGGCTTCTGAGATTGTCTCAGCCACTGGGCCTGGGAGCCTGGGGAGCCTTGGGCTCTGGCGGACTCACTGGCAGGCAGCTCCCCCTAGTGGCTGAAGTCAGGGTCTCCAGCAGCATGCAAACCACAGCGGCGCTCACTGCTCACAGAGGGGCTGTACTGTGAGCTTACCTCAGGCCTACACTCAGGCCTCCATGACTTGAGCCTCACAGGGGTTTCCAGAACTTTCCCGGGGCTAAGAAAGCAATGTGTCATTTCTTGAGACCTTAAACCCTTAAGAGTCAACTACTAGTTTGTGTCGGTGCCTAAAAGAAAAGTCACCAGGTTTCATTGTAACTGTTCTGTCACAGGCCCCTGGGTCCTGACGCTTCCTCAAGCCAGCAGCACCAGCCTCCGTGCACGTCCTCGCCCTCTGGGCCTCCTGACTCCATGCTCTGGGCGGCCCGCAGCTCGGGACAACTGAACGAGCTCCAGGGCCCTATGCACGCTCAGGTCTGAGGCCAATCTCAGAGACCTCCCACCAGTCATTTAACTGGCCAGCCAAATACGGCAGGCAAAGCCAAGACGGACTTCAGGGTGAAGGCTGCCGTAGGAGGAGCCAACCACACCCAGCACGGGGAGAAGTAGTTTCCTCATGCAGGACCAGAATGGATGCCGCTGACACCACCTGCTCCCACCCAGCAAGTCCCCTGGGAATATCCCTGACGGTGCTTTCCCATGACTTCGATCGTCCTGTCCCTTATCTCTAACAAATCGCCATTTCAGAAGAGGAAGTACCAGCAAAAAGCCTTGCAGGGAAAGTAAGTCATTGTCCCAGGGTATGCTCTTCACCTGCTCCTCTGGCCTATTGCCTCATCCTAAGGGCACACCATACTCACACACATACACACATACGCGCACACACACACACTCACACACACACATACACACACTCACACATACACACACACACACACTCTCTCACACACACACACACACTCTCACACACACATACACACACACACCACACTCATGCATACACACACACTCACTGGCAGTCACACTGGTGCACACACAGTTATGAAACCACACTCATCCACACTGGTGCACACACATGCACGTGCACACATATAGGCACACACTCGTGCACACATACTCACCCCCACACACACACACTCCTGCACACACACTGGCGCACACACCCACACTTCCATGCATTTCTGGGACAGCCCTCGCCCCTCTCAGGGCCAGCTTCCTGGGCAGCCCTGCCGGCTTCCGGGGTCTCTCTTTTCGGACCTGGACACAGGGCGGCGCCCTCCCTGGCATCACGGCTGGAACTGGCTTGACGATGTTGCTGCCTTCTCCCTTCTCCTGGGGTTGGCATCCCCACCACGCCAAGGTCAGCCTGAAAGTCTCCCAGCTCCTGGCCCTCTGCTGTTTCAAAAGCACAACCAGAACACTGCACACGAGAAGAGAACAAGCTACACAGACCACCAGGAGCGAGGAGAACCTGGGCTTCTGCGCCTGGGTCAGAGAGGGGCTTCGGGCCGTCTTCTGGCCTCCCTTAAGGAGAACTGGCGGCCTCTCCTGGCTCACCCGCTCAGGGGAAGACAGCCCTGCGCTCCCTGCCCGGCGCCCGCAGGTGCCCGAATGCAGCAGCCGCGTCACAGCTGGCGCTGGCGACCGCGTGGCGAGGGAGCTGGTGGTGCTTCTGCTCTCTGAGCGGACAGTGAAACAGGCCAGAGGCCACGGGCAGGGCCCCGGTCAGGTCACAGGCACCTGACAAGCTCATTCGGACCTCAGCGTGGCTCTGCACCTCTTCCTGCCTGAAGGCACAGGTCAGAGCCCAGGGGCCCTCCTCTCACGTTCGCCTCTCAGGCAGCCCTCTGAGTGGCCCCCAGGCTGGCTGTGTGCCACCAAAGGCGCATCTGGGCACCTGTCTGGGGCCGCCACTGCCCTGACCACAGGGAGCCAAAGGCACTGAGCCTGACACTCTGGCCCTTAGATAATTGATTCTAACGATGCTCACTCACCTGTTTCTCCAGCTCCTCCTCTGAATACAGAAAAAGAAATGCTCCCCACCCCCTCTCAGTACAGCCGCAGCTCAAATAGAGGTGTTTTCAAGATTGAAATCATAACCCAACAGGCTACTAAATCGGAGGTTCCAAAGGAGATACATCAACACATAATTATATCAGTTTCCAAAATCAAGACATCAGACAGGCCTCATGCAGCATTTCAGCCTGGCTCAGAAGCAGAGGCTGCAGAAGGAGAAACAGAAGGAGCAAGGGTAACTATTACCAAATGTGCATTTAGAAGAAAGATCTCTTTAGAGCTGGTCACAGGGAGCTGGGAGTGTCCTCCCCCACACACAGGAGGGGAGGACCGAGGTGCCCCCACCGCCCCGGGCTGCGAGGCTCCGGGTCCTCTCTCTGCCCCGGGGAGGGTGGGGGGGAGCGCTGACTGTGGCAGAGCCCAGTCCTGTGCCTGGGAAGCAAGTGCGCATTAAAGAACAAGCCAAAGCCAGGAACCCCATGGCTGGCGAAGTTCGTGCCTGCGCCACCCGGTCGTGGCTCTGCTGGCGATAAGGCCCGGACCACCTGCTCCCCAGGCTCTTCCTGACGGGAGGGGACAAGCATGTGCTCCACCCCAGAGCCCAGCAGCCAGGCCTGCCGTGTGCGCTGCTCTCCTCTGAAGGAACAGCGAGCGGAACAGTACTGCGTTTATGGTTACACCATTGTCACCGCTCACTTACCCTGCCGGTTACAACTTGCTATGCCAGAGCCCTGGCCTCGCCCTCTCCTCTGACCCTTCCCTGGGCCAGTCAGACCACCAGACCCGGGTGCTGCGTCCAGTACCTCCCCAGGCCCAGCCCTCCGCCCCTGCACGGCCCCTGCCCAGCCAGCCCACCGCTCTCACCGCCCAGGAGCCAGGCGCCTCCCACTGGACCTCCCGGACCTTAGCTTTCCTGTCAACCCACTTTCCACTGCAGCCAGGTCATGGTCTGAGCTGCAGAGCCCGTCCACCTGATGCTGAAGGCACGGATTGAGGTGCCTTCCACGGACCCCTAGAGACTCCGGTGTGAGTCCAAACGTTCCTAAGAGCGTTGGGATCTGGGCTCGACTTCGCCCTGCAGCCGCATCTTTCCCCTCCACCCTCCAGCCTCCCGCTGACCCAACGCCCGTCCACTCCGTGGACCACGAGCTGTTGGCTCCTCCTGGTCTTGGCTCTGCTCTGCTCAGAAGCCATGCGCTGGGCTCTTCGTCCCTGTGCCCAGCCCACCCACCAACAGCCGGGACCCTGTGTTTTTTATCTCATAGCCTCATTTCCCCCGTGCCATCGGTGCACACGCCGGAACTGTCCTGGCACAGCCGGAAGAGCCCGGTCAGAGTGAGCCCACAGGGGGCAGGTAGGGTGCTCACCATGTCCAGCCTCTGACCCTCAGGAAGCCGCCCTGGACACCCTCTCCTGGCTCAGCCGGCCGCCAGGCAACTCCGTGCGCGCCTTGTGGGCACCCGCTGCCACACTCACCCCAGGGCCACGAGCGCCGAAAAGGCGAGGCTGAGTCCCATTCAGAGCTCTGTTTTCAGTGCCAGCCATCGAAGCGTTCAAGCCCACATCTGTAATAGGACACATTAGTCTGTCCCCCAGGGAGCTGGTACGTCAAAATGAGAAAATTAGTAAAAAGCACTTAGCATGGAGTAACAGAAAGCGGTGTTGAAGTAAAGCAAGCGAATTCATTAAGGAAGCAAAGCAAGCCTATTTATGGAAAACTAGAGGCCTGTTGCATGAAAATTTATGCAGTGGAGGGAGTTCCCTCAACCCAGCCGGCCCCCTCTCACAGTCCAGGAGCCCTCAGAGGTGGGAGGGGATCCAGCAATCAGGGAAGGAGATGCCCCATCACACCTCTGCTGCTGCCACTGCTGGCAGCGCAAGCCTTGGCCGGCCCTGGTTACCTGAGTGTTGGGCAGCCCTGAGCATCTGGGCAGCCACCATCCAAGACTTGCCTGCACCTTGGGCTGGCCCTGGGTGGCTGAGGGAACTGGGGGACTCTGGAGACAGGTGCATGAAGTGGGGATGGGCCCAGCTGTGCTGCACACCTGCCGCCCAACAGAGCTGAGGGGACTGGGCGCCACTATCTAATGGCTGTGGGTGCCGCCATCTTTGTGGGTGCCGTCACACTTTGAGGGTGTGACAGTCAATTAGCATATCCCCTCTTTATTAGATAGGATTCACTTGGGGCAGAGGATAAAATGTCGCTGAAAGGCAGACCTGTCCTACATCTCATCCCAGGGCCAGGATGGAAATTCAACTAAACTGGAGAACATGCACCTGGAATTGCCTTCTGTGGTCCAGCGCGGAGGAGGAGACGTATATAGAGGAAGGACAGAGGCACTGGGAGACCGGTGGGAAGATGAGATTGCAGAGAGGGGACACCAGAGCACACACACCTGCCCACAGTGCTTCAGGGCCTGGAGCTGTGCGGCCGGCAGCAGCGGTGCCACAGTGGCTGCGGCAGGGAAAGGTAGCGGGACTGCTGGTGGCAGCAGAGTCTAGACCCTGCAGACCAGAGCCAGTGGGGGAGAGGACCACAGATTTTATTCCTTTTCCTAAAAAAAAAAAAAAAAAAAAAAAAAAAAAAAAAAAAAAAAAAATCTCTAAACCCAGAGCACAGGAATTTTCATTTGTAACTACACACCAAGGCCTTGGCACAGGGAAGGAGGTGCCTGAGGACAGGTGGGGAAGGGAAGCAAGACAGGGAGACCTTGAAAAGCTCAAGGTCTTGCACAGGTCACTCAGACACTTCCACACCAAAAGGGTCATTCTCCCCGGGAGGAGCTGCCTGCCCCAAGCACCCAGAGGGCAGGTAAAGGAAAAGCCCGCCCAGGTGAGGCAGCCTGCCATCGCTGTAGTGGGAGCTTTACTGAGGAAACACAGGCAGAGGCCAAGCTTATGGGTCTGAATAGTCTCCAGGAGCCTCGGTGACTGGCCTAGAGGAGGGGCCGCCCACCCCACTATTCTAGGAACCAGACTGGTAAAAACTCCAGGGCCCCAGCTGGCCCTACTGGTCTCCATGCAAGGACTCCTGTCCAGCCAAAGGCAGAGAAATACTTTGTACCACTCATGGAGTAGCTCTGGGACAGGAAAAAACACCCATCAAATACCCTGAAAGCAAAATAGCACCAACCCCACCTAAAGTTCTGTCAGAAACAGACCCTTGAGTGATTAAGATTGACAACCGGTGGACAGGTAAGGAGGGCAGATGGGCCCCTCCTGCTTGCAGCCATGGCCCGTGGAGAAAGACACAAGTAGTGGACCTTGGATCACTTAGAACACATGCTAAAAGCCAAAGATAGTGCCTGGCCGTGGCCTGCACCTACGCCCTAACAGGAAGCCCAGAATCCACAGCAGAACAGAAGAGTGAGACCCTGAACCAGCTCCCTTGGGGCATTAAAACTCGGCTGAAGCAAATGACACTTCACTTCATATTTTATGTTTAATTTTATTTTTTATTTCTCTAATATTTTGCACCTCCCACCCCCCTCTTCGCTTTTTATCTTCCCATTATTCTTATCCTTTCTCCTTATTATGTTTTCTCTTTTCTTTCTATTTTCCTCTTTTTTTAAATTGATCTTCCTTATCTATAACTTCACTGATTTGTTATTAGTCTAGTCTCTGCTGTTTTGTTCATATATATATAATTTCCTTTTCCCTGCTCCTACTCTCTTTCTCTCTCTCTCTCTCTCTCTCTCTCTCTCTCTCTCTCTCTCTCTCTCTCTCTCTCTCACTACTCAACTTTTTAATTTGTTTTCTCTCTTATCTTTCTATTTTCTTCTACTACTTTCTTAATTTGTTTCTCTTTTGCTCATCCAGTATGGCTAGAGAGTGATCCAGTTCTAGAAGCAACTGGGGATTGAGAAAATGAAAGAAAGACACAGAGATAGAAGGAAAAAGCTGGGGCCGGATGGAACCACTGTCCTCTTCTAATGGAGAGACAGTGACCCAGAGTCAATTCAGCATGTTTATTTTATACCCCAAATACCAGGAAGTTTTACCAAAAGTCAAGACAAAGGAGATTATGCTCTGATATTAAAATTATTGCAAACAATGCCAATGCAAAAACTACAGACATGCTATTATTTTAAAACTTGAATATCAAGAACAAAACTCTGGTTATTAAAATAATAACAAACAATGCCAATGCAATAAAGCAATAAAAGAGAAATCAAGCTACAGACATGTTAACATTTTTACTTACAAAATGAAAGTTTCTTTTGCTGCTGGTGTATATTTACTCAGAGTCCTTGGACTTGGCTGTGCAAACCTTCGCAGAAGACTGGCAGCTAACCAATGCTAACATAGCCAGAAACATGGCAGAGGGAGCAGCTTCCACTTCTTGCTTTTCCACAACTGCTGTCCCTTGCTTAGCCTTCGGTTTTCTTCTTCTTCCACTTTGCTATCACTGGGGGAACTCTCAGTCCTTTTGAGTGAAGGGACAAGGAGCTTCTCTGGGTCCATTGTGGTGATGCACGTAACTCTCTGGGACCCAAATTGGCCACAATGCTTCTTCTGGAAAGACACAAAACACAAACTCTTCCCCACATCATTACTGAATCGATAAAACTCTTGTCAGGTTTGTGCATCCTTCCACCTGGCTGACTCAGTGGAGGCTATTATACAGGAGGCCTGTGCCTCTGCATCACAATTCAAAAAATTTAAAGTATAAAGAGCATGACTAAGTTTGTTTTGAGGTGACAGATAACATCTATCTCCCCCCTTTTTTGTTTTATGCAGCAAGGAAAGACACTGAGCCAAATCCTGCCCAAACTTGAGACCCCAGCATGGGCCCTGCCCAAGGTGTGGAGGGAAGGCCATTGGAAATCAGACTGCAGTCAGGCCCCTCCAGGTCAGACCTCAGCTAGTCCAGCATGGCCACCCTCTGGATCCGGTTTGGAGTTCTCAGACCTCCTGGGACTGATCACTGAAGAAGTTGCCAGGCCCTGACAGGGCCCCACAGACTCACATCACCAGGACAGAGCCTCAGGTAATGATTATGGTGGCAGGTAAACTGATCTACCTTTTAATTGACCCTGGGGCCATTTATTCTGCCCTCTCCGGATTCACTGGGACCCTTGTCCCCTCCTCAGCCTCTATTATGGGGATTGATGGGTTAGTCTCACAGTGTCACCTCTACACTGCATCTCACTAAATTCCCCAATTCACTCTTTTCTCATTCTACCTCAGTGCCTGGCCAGGGCTATTGTGCATCCCCTCATAAAACCCAGTTGTCCCAAACTACAGTCACCTACCTCAGTGTCACTCTCTCTCCCCACAGGGCAGAGCCATTCCTTGGACTGCAAATGCCTTATCTAAAGAAAGTAAAAGTCTTTAATGCAGCAATTTAAGGTTTAAAAGTAAAAACAGAAAGGATTAAGGTTCAGTAAAATATAAGTTAAGCCAGCGAGCAGCACATATAACTTTAGGAAATTTAAAGTGCTAAATTTGGCTCATCTGAGTGCAGTGCCTTACTTCTTATCCAACCATCCAGGTCTCTGGCCTCAGCTGCTCCTTTCCTTCCCTTTCTCTTTTCCCTTGGATAGCAGCCCATCCTAACGTTCCCTTCCAGTTTCACTGCAATACAATCTCAAACACTCATCTTCACCCTTATTGGTAGCGCCATGCCACTATCCTCTCAGCTTTGAGCATGGAACTAGGAATGAGAATCTCATACCCTTTAGTCCACCTGTTCTCTCTACAAACTTTCAGCTTGTCTCCATGATCAGGGATTTTTCTTCCTCTGTGGAGAGAACACCTACATCTGTCTCCCCATCAGCTGCACAGGAGCCTGTACTCGCATCCATGTAGATGCAGCCCCAATGATCAGTCTTTACCTGTCCCCTAACCCACCATATCTGACACAAAAGGGCAGCCCAGATCATCCCTCTCCTCATCACCCTGGGCATCACAGCAGGGGTTGGAACTGCCACAGGGAGCTTACCCACTGCTCTGTCTACTCTGAACCCCTGTCTCAGGACCTACAAGAAACACGTGGATGCCCAGCAAGGGGGAAATCTGGGAAAACAAGAGCCTCATCCCAGGGTCACCTCTCCTCCCCTTTCATATCAATAGTCAGGCAACCCCTGATCTTTTCCTCCTAAAGATAACATCTAGGCTTCAGTTTTATTTCAGGCCCAGATAAGCAGTAAAACCAGACAAGTGATGCTGTGGCAGCCTCGGGACCAGCTTTTACATCCCCAGTCAACAGGATCGCTCTCGAAACTTCACCAACCAGTCTCTTGGGGAAATCATGCTGCTACACCCCTTGTCCAGCCCACTACTGTCAAAGTCCATTCCCCTGTGATCTTGACATCCCACCTCAGCAGGAAGTAATTACAGAAGATTTGACCTTCATTCCTATTTTATAAAACAAAAAGGCTGGAATGTTAGGTTGGAGCAATTACATTGATATCCTTTCCCTGGGAACTGGCTTTTCAGGTCATTTCACTATGGACATTATCTTTATGGACCACATTTCACTTGTGGTGATCATATTCCGTATGCATAAAAAAGTCTCTGCCCAGAAAAAATCCCACCAAAAGTCCTTTAAAAGCCTCTGACTCCCATCACTGAGTTCTAGAGCCATCCAGGTTCAGCCACCTGGTGTGCAGGTAAGCGAATAAATTCATAATCCCTCACCACACTGGCCTCGTGCTTTCCTCCTTCAATGACATAACAGCTGGCACCCCGAGTATCCCACAGCACTGGCCCTGGCACAGGCCTGCCATCAGGGCCCTGGGTCTGCAGACCCTGCCCTCCAGCACAGTGGATTGGGGCGGGGGGGGGGGGGGGGAAATAGAATAGTGGGGACTAGCTATAGTTACAAGGAGCATTAATCATGTTCTGATTGGAGAAAGCACATTCTACCTGGCTGAGAGTTGTACATCCCAGAAATGTGGCCCATTCTCCTTGTCTGAGAGCTGCCTACCATCATGGGAAGATTAACAACCTAGGTGCTGAATCAGCCTGGTCCCAGAGGCACCTGTCCTTCGAGGCCTCAGCCCGCATTGCCTGTAACCATTATCCCTTGCCTACTTCCCCATGCCTGTAACTCCTACTTCCAGTGCCTGTAACTCCTACTTCCCATGCCTGTAATTCCTATTTCCCCATACCTGTATGTCTGTAATTCCTACTTTCTCTTGGAATCGTTGTCCTTCTGCCCAATAAGCAGCTAGTTTATGGCGAGAGGTAGGGCAGATTTTTGTGGATGAGCTACTGCTCTCCCATGCTGCTGGCAGTATTGGAATAAATGCTGATGTATGATTCAACCCTGCCTCTGCTTAATTGGCTCAAGTAGTGACAGGCAGCCCAGACCCATTTGTTATCTGGTTTCAATTGTTATACTTAATCTTCATTTATATATGAACCAGAGGCCCAGTGCACCAGTAGGGTCCCTGAGCCTGACCTGCACCCTCTCACTATCCAACATCTCTCAGGGGATGTCAGACTGCTGGTTTCGGCCTGATCCCTGCAAGCCAGATGGAGGGCCTCTAGTATGCATATAAGATCTTTGGTTAATCTCTTCCTGACCTCCCCCTCTTCCTTCCCTCTGACATTTATCAGTCTGTTTCATGTTTCCCTGCCTGTGCATTGAGTGTCTGTCCCCTGGTGGTCAGTGCACATCATAGCTACTGGTCGAATGGTCAAATAGGTGAACAGTCAAAAGGTCGCTTGGGCTTTTACAATATATACTAGAGGCCTGGTGCACAAAATTTGTGCATGGAGGGAGGGGAAGAATGCCCCTTAGTCCAGTCTGCACCCTCTCCAATCTGGGACCCTTCGAGGGATGTCTGACTGCCTGTTTAGGCCCGATCCAGGTAGGTTAGGGCCTAACCAGGCAGTTGGACATCCCTCTTACAATCCAGGACTGCTGGCTCCCAACTGCTCACCTGCCTGCCTTCCTGATTACCCCTAACCACTTCTGCCTGCCAACCTGATCACCCCCTAACTGCTCCCTTGCCAGCCTGTTTGCCCCCAACTTCCCTCCTCTGCTGGCCTGGCCACCATTAACTGCCCTCCCCTGTTATCCATATTTTGGTGGCCATCTTGTGTCCACATGGGGACAGCCATCTTTGACCACATGGGGTCAGCCATCTTGTGTGTTGGAGTGATGGTCAATCTATATATTACTCTTTTATTAGATAGGATAGAGGCCTGGTGCATGGGTGAGGGCCAGCTGGTTTACCCTGAAGGGCTTCCCAGATCAGGGTGGGGGTTCCCTTGAGGTGTGGGGCAGCCTGGGCTAGGGGCCTGTGGTGGTTTGTAGGTTGGCCACACCCCTGGCAACCCAAGTGGAGGCCCTGGCATCTGGGATTTACTTATCTCCTACAATTGAAACTTTGAAGCCTGGAGTGGAGACAAACCTTCTGCTTGCTCTGTGGCAGCCGCCATTTCTGTTGGGATTTATTTATCTTCTATAATCGAAATTTTGTAGCCTTAAGCAGAAGCCTGGGCAGGCCAGAGTGTGTGGAAAGCTTGGCTTCCTCCATCGCCTGGGAAACCCAAGCCTCCCTCCTGCTTTCTCCGTGGCCGCAGCCATTTTGGGTTAATTTGCATACTTGCTCCTGATTGGCTTGTAGGCATGTCTTATGGGCGTGGCTTGTGGTATAGTGAAGTGGTGGCTAATTTGCATATTACTCTTCTATTAGATAGGATAGATTGCAGACACCAGGCACCTTTATGCCTTCTCTTGAGAGAACTTGTGTTCTCTGGAAGCTATTGATTTGCCATTCAGGGTCTGTCTGCTACACTTGCCTCTGCCAAGCAATAGCCTCTGTGCATCACCGTCAGTCCTTCAAGTCTTCCAATCCTTAGAACCATGCCCTCTCACTGCAAGAACAAATGTGTGTATGACCTTCCCTTTTTCCCATTATAAAAGTAAACATGCTCATCACAAGGCATTCCGAAAATACAAAGAGTAGGCACTCACCCACCATTCTCAGTATTTACATTTTGGTACTTTCTTTCCAGCATGTTTTCTACATATAATTTTTGCTAAGTTTTAATCATAAAGCATGAATATTTTATACCCCCTTTTAATGCCACTTAAGAATATTAGCATTTTCTCATAATAATACCTTCAAATTATTGCTGAACATAATTGCTTTCTCATGTATAAGGTAAAACTGGGAGTAAGCAACAGGAGCAAAGTACTAAGTACTAAGTACAAACAGGTTTTCATGACAGCCAAGCTGACCTAGAAAATCCCAAAAATTCCATGAAAGTGTGTCCCTTTCTCTGCCTCGGAAGAGTTCTGGTACTGGTCAGACCTGCACTGAGATGACCTCCCTCCCCTGGAGGTCGCCTGGTGCCCTCTTTCCCCTTCTCACAGGTCCAAGCCCAGGGACCAGGCCTTTAGGCAGACATGTCCGTCTGATCTGTCTTTGACTTGCTTGGATTCCTTCAGCTACAAAGACCCACACAGGAACATGATATTCTTAGAATATACTCTCAGTCTGCCTGGGATGTTTTTAGCAAAAACTGATAGTAACAATGACTACTAAGCTTGGATTCCCTGCAAAGTAAGAATATGTCCTTTTCTATTTGTGCAAAAGCATTGCTTTCCACAACGCTATTGTCTGATCCCGTTAAATCCAAAAAGGAAAGGCAGAAAAGCAAAACAGCTGATAATTATATTAATGATGCTGATGATGGTGATGAAGATGATGACAGTGGTGACAGTTATGCTGATGATAGTGATGGGGTTGATGGTGACAGTTATGATGATGATGGTGATGAGGAGGATGATGGTGACAGTCATGATGATGGTGATGATGAGGATAATGGTGCTGACAGTTATGATGATGATGGTGATGAGGATGATGATGGTAACATTTATGCTAATGATGTGATGAGGAGGATGATGGTAACAGTTATGATGATGGTGATGATGAGGATAATGATGCTGACAGTTATGATGATGATGGTGATGAGGATGAGGATGATGGTGATGAGGATGAAGATGATGGCAGTGACAGTTATGATGATGATAGTGATGAGGAGGAGGATGGTAGTGGCAATTATGATGATGATGGTGATGAGGATGTGACATTTATGCTGATGGTGATGATGAGGAGAATGGTGACAGTTATAATGATGATGGTGATGATGAGGATAATGGTGCTGACAGTTATGATGATGATGGTGATGAGGATGAGGATGATGGTGATGAGGATGATGATGATAGTGACAGCTTTGATGATGATGAGGAGGAGGAGGATGGCTATGATAGTTATGATTATGATGGTGACAATTATGATGATGATGGTTGTGAGGAAGAGGATGGTGACAGTTATGCTGATGGTGATGAAGAGAATGATGGTGGTGACAGTTATGATGATGATGGTATGATGAGGATGATGATGGTGACAGTTATGATGATGATGGTGATGAAGAGAATGATGGTGGTGACAGTTATGGTGATGATGGTGATGAGGAGGAGGATGGTGACAATTATGATGATGATGGTATTTATGATGGGGAAGGTGATGATGATGATGATGACAACAATGCCCTGACAATGCCCTGACAATGCCCTGACAATGCCCTGCTACCTGATGACCAGAAACACAGCTACAGTGGAACAAAGCTTGTTGACTCATTGTAACAAGGGAGAATGTGCACAAGTGAAGTGGTAAGAGGATGAGAGAAAGAATTTCTAGCAAGATTTCGCTTCTGTAAAGAGATTTGGGTGAGGGTCCAAGAAAGGGGTTGTGGCTCTGAATTGGAATCTTCCAGGAAAGGGGGATTCTGTAATTGGCTAACTTCATCATTCTTAGCCATCGTGTGGAAAGAACAGATGGTGGTTAGAGATACGATTGGGGAACAAGCTGCAGTCCCTTGTAATATTTACTCAGCAGTGAGGGCATTTTGCCATGTTTGTGTTTGAACTGTGCTCTCCTTCTGTCTATGTTTAGACGTGGTTATAAGTTATCCTCAGTGTGTCTATCCCAGTCCCAGGTGGCCTTGTCTGATGCTGAGGTCTGTGACATGTTTATGTTCCCGGGGGAACACCAACTGGTTCCCAGCTCACAGGGCCTGCTTTTTCTTTTTCTGTCCTTATGAAACAGCTGATGTCATTATATTTATATTAAAATAGCAGAACGAATACTTAGATGGCTAAGAACGTGGCTCAGGTTCACAGGTAGAAAGTAACAGGAACTCAACATGGGTCTGACGCAGAAGGCCGTGTTCTCAGCCTCACACTAAAATGCACCCTCCTGTGGTGGTGGTGATGGTGGGCATTTTATTTGAATAAGTAATACACGTACAAGTGACTAAGCCTGGCTGTAAGCAGAGCATGCAGTGCGCATCAGTCTCCTGGACACGCCAGCCCTGTCCCCGCAGCTGGTCCCTGTCATGACGCTGGCCTTGCAGTGTGCGGGCGGAGTGATCCAGTGAAAAGAATTACTTTGGGAGGAACAGCCAGTGACTTAAAACTTGACAAATTACTTGTTCTTTCCTGTTATTCCAAAAACGTTTCCACAAGATTTGAGAAACTCAACCGACATGAACTGAATATATGCTTGTCCCGCTCTGTGCTCATCCCTGGACAAGCTCCCAAAGTGCAGTGCCACCTGCTGGCCTGAGGAGGCCAGAGCACAGGAAGCCCGGCACTGAGTTGGGGGAGCGGTGCAGGAGGAGGGGAGCAGTCCACTGGGCCCGGATTTACAGGTGGGTGGGGAGGAGAAGAGAACTCCAGAGAGGTGTGTGCAGGTGAGTTCTGGCGGTGACACGGGAAAGGGGTTTTAAAGGACACGTGTGTAGGAGAAGTCTAAGATTCACTGGGTGAAGGGAAATAAATGCCCTCGGGTGCAGAGGATGGGCAGGCTCTGTAGCTACTACCCTGAGATCCTTGATAATCCTCCCTATTCCTCGTGGTTTGGGGGATGAGCTGGTTTTCTTTCAAATTATCCAACCTATGTCCTTCTGGGCCTTCCCCCTAACCAATCCCTTTCTGGAACTTTCAGTGCTCTCTACCCTTATCCAAGCTGATCCTTCCTCTTTTTTCTTTTAATCTTCACCCAATGATATGTTTTTATTGATTTGAGAGAGAGAGAGAGAGAGAGAGAGAGAGAGAGAAACATCTCTGAGAAACATTGATTGGCTGCCTCCAGTACATATTCTGTCCAAGGACGGAACGTGCCCTGACTAGGGATGGAACCCCAGTCTTCCGCGCATGGGACATACTCGAGCCAACAGGGCCCCCTGGCCAGGGCTCCAGTCTGCCCTTTATGGCGCCATTTTGGCTCCTACTGCCAATTCCTGAAGTTCTGCACATCATTTGGTTTCTGCTGGGCATGCGCCCAGCAAAGGCATTTTCCCTGCTGTATTTTTTTTTTTTTGGTTGCCCTACTTTAATGTTTATTTTTTAAAAGAATATATCTTTACTGTTGAGAATATTACAGATGTCCCCCTTCCCCCCACATTGGCCCCCTCCACTCTACCTCTACCTCCAGGCCTTCACCACACTATAGTTGGTGTCCGTGGGTTATGCATCTATGCCTACAAATTACCTGGTTGATCTTTTCCCACCCACCTACCCCCAACTTCCCTCTGAGATCTGTTTTGCTTGTCCGTTTATTTTGTTCATTAGATTCCACATATGAGTGAGATCATGTGATACTTGTTTTTCTCTGACTGACTTAGTATTTCACTTAGCATAATGCTTTCCGGGTCCCTCCATGCCGTCTCACAGGGTAGAGATCCTTCTTTTTCTAGCTGCATAGTATTCCGTGGCGTAAATGTACCACAGCTTCTTTATTCACTCATCTCCTGATGGGCACTAGATTGTGTCTAGATCTTAGCTATGGTAGATTGTGCTACTATGGACATAGGGGTGCATACGTTCTTTTGATTGGTGTTTCAAGTTTCTTAGGATACAGTCCTGGAAGTGAG